GAACAACTGGCGGACACTATTGATTGAAGAAATTTATTCTGTAAGCTTTCTCGGTAGAGCTGTATGCAATGTATTGTTGGAGAAATCCTTCAGCAGTGGAAAATCCTTTATGAGCATTGATGATTCAAAGATTTTTTTGACATTGTGATCTGCCCATTAATTTGTCCTTGGAGGCAGAAAGTTGATTAGAGCTGTTGCTTCAGTCTGAGGGCCAGTGCTAGTACAGTTCGAATAATCCTATTTGAGGAAAAATCTGAAGATTACATGTTTTGTTGCTTTTATTTGGAAGAACCTGTAGGCATATGAAAAATGGACCGTGGTGTAGTTTTAGCCTTTGATGTGTAGTACTTGTGATTCCATTTTTTTGGTGATAATCACCTGTACTGCATTTCTAAATTTCTCCTAGCAACTCCCAGAGTTTTAAACTTTTCAGCACTGTTTCTTATGTATGTCCATCATCTGATCAAGATGAACGTAGGATGAAGTGCTAGAACCAGCTGTTGGCTGGCTTCCTTTCAACTTCTCTTATGCTGTGTTAAAAGCTTCTATGTTACCTGACTTAAAGTAAGATTAAAAAGTGGTGTTAATAATGTGCTGTGAAATTCTGAGGGTTTTAAAAGCTTTATGGGTTTTTTGTATATTTATTTGTTGTGTCTTTTGTGTTGTTTTGTTTCTTTAACAGGAATCTTATCCCTCTTCATCACCAATATGGTTTGTAGAATCAGATGACCCAAACCTGACTTCAGTCTTAGAGCGTTTAGAAGATATTAAGAAGAGCAATACTCTGGTGAGCAATTTTTGGGGGTGTTTTATTTGGTTTGGGGTGTTTAGCTTTGCCACATTAACAAGCAATTAAATTATTTCAGTTTGGGTGTTATTTGGGGAAGGTTTGTAAACAGAAGTTTCTCTTCCAAAAACATAGGAACCTAAAGTAATCTCAACAACCTGAGGCAAGGAGGAGGTTACTGAAATGCTTGCTCTTTAAAAGAAATTAAGTTTCAGCCCAAATAATTCCACGGTTTAAAGTTTTCTGAAAATAATTAAACAGTGAAATGCATGAGAACTTTAAACAACTCTTCTTTGCACAGAGATCAACTACAAAGGCAAAAACTTTGTGTTCTTGGGAGTGTGTGCTCCAAAATATGGCTGTAATGGTAGCTAATAGAAAGAATTCCTGGTTTTGGTAAAGAAAACTTGACCTGATAGCTTCTGGTTCATCAGAATGTGCCTGTGATAGTGCTAGGTTTGAACAGTGTTGTGGCTTTCGACAATTGCTATTTAAAGAAAATCTTTGCACAGATTCTAATAGTAGTTTTGTACTTCAGAAGTCTGTTCATGTACTATTAACACATACCAAATGATGCTAGACCCTCCTTAGAGCAGGGCATTGCACCAGTTGACTTCCAGACGTGCCTTTCAGCCCAAATTATCCTATGACTTTTCATACCTATGAGCCTATGAGCAGAGCATAAGGGATAACAGTGGTGATCCATGGCAGGAAGATCAATGTGATTTTATGTTGCCAGAAGCTTTCTGTAACAGTATCACATCTCATTTGTGTACTCACAAGAAATATGTGGCTGATAGACCTGTTTTTTTGGTGTCCTCTGCTTTTATTTTTGAGTTCAGGATGACTGTCATGAATGATGCAGAAACACCAAATGTAGTAAGAGAGAACGTCATTTCTTGTAATGCAGGCTGGTGTGTCAGTTCACGGCCTCCAAGGAACAAATAACATTCCTGTTAAACAGGAATGTTGAATTCTACTGGAGAAGAGAAAGGCACTGAAGCTTTCAGATAGCATAAAGGCAACATTTGCTTATCACTGCTAGTTATTTGGTCTTGGAAATTGAGATCTTAACCCTGAAGAGGCTGAATTTTCACTTGCAAGCCAAAAGCAAGGCTTTAGACATGTAGATTATTTTTGAGCAACTAGATTTTTCTTAGATACCTTAATTTATTGTATATTTTAGGAAACAGAATACAGACATCAAGTAGTGTTGTATAGGTGTCATTCTATCTGGATAATACAGTCTATGCTGAATCTTCACAGTATCACAGAATGTTAGGGATTGGAAGGGACCTCAAAAGCTCATCCAGTCCAATCCCCCTGCCGGAGCAGGAACACCCAGATGAGGTTACACAGGAAGGCGTCCAGGCGGGTTTTGAATGTCTGCAGAGAAGGAGACTCCACAACCTCTCTGGGCAGCCTGGTCCAGGGCTCTGTCACCCTCACTGAGAAGAAGTTTCTTCTCAAATTTCAGTGGAACCTCCTGTGTTCCAGTTTGTGTCCATTACCCCTTGTCCTATCATTGTTTGTCACCGAGAAGAGCCTGGCTCCATCCTCGTGACACTCACCCTTGAAATATTTATAAACATGAATGAGGTCTCCCCTCAGTCTCCTCTTCTGCAAACTAAAGAGACCCAGCTCCCTCAGCTGCTCCTCTTGGTTGAGGCCATGTTGCCCAAGTCCACTTCCTTTATGGAGAAGATGGTTAAAGGGGAGTGGAGGTTGCCACTCTTAGCATAGCTCTAACTACTAGTACTGCTGAAGGATGTATGTACAGGAATGGCTGCTTTGCATACTGCCTTCTACAAGTGGAAAGACAAACTCCCTTTGGTGTCTGGAAGAAAAATCCATAACTGGATGTATAATTTTTGCAGGCTTCATCTAGTGTATTACCTGCAAATAATGAAGTGTTAATAATTTTGAAAACATATTCTGCAGTCCTTTCTTTCATTTTCTGATGCAGGTATGTGAAGATCTTGAAAAGTTAGGAAGTGCGGTGGTATAAAGTCTTTTATGGCCTCGGCCTTAACTAGGGATCTGAGGCTGCCTAGAGGAAGTTAACAGCTATTGAAATCCACTTAGTTAACATGGTGATCAAGAAGCAATCTTGGTTTCTCTATTTCTGCAGAACTTAAATCTGTTTTCTGGGTAACATTACAGTGAGTAAAAGGTGTTCCATCTCTTGCAGTTTAACAGAACACAGTCAATGTAATGCTGAAAGTTGGAAACAGAAATCAGTGTTAGTAACAGATTGTGCCTCAACTTGATACAAGATAGGGCAAGCAGAATGCCTGGGCACTGGCTCAGAGGTTGACCAGTTACTGTGCCTTGTACAGCGCATGTTTTGCTTCTAGCGCTTCACTGGTCTTCCCTAGGAAGAGATTTGGGATGTGGAAAATTATACTGTTCCTCCTTATTTTTTTGGAGACGTGGTTCTTTAAACTAGGAAGCTGGAATGGACCATCTTGCCTCATGGAATACGAAGATTTGATTATTCTCGAGTGATCTGTGGCTGAGACACCTGTGGATCATCACCTGGATGATGCTGCCAGAGCAAATTATTCTTTAGAGCAATCTTTAACATGCCATGTCCTTGGTTTCCCATTGTGGGGATTTATTGCTATGACTGCAGAGGAAAACTTTATTCTAGTGTGCACAGATTTTAAATGCTGTCCAGTGACTGAAAGTTCAGTACCAAGAGGTGAAGAAAACTCAAAATACATTGTTCTCTGCTTTTTAAAATACGTTTCCATGTTTTCTGTTTTTCTATAGCTTCTTCAGCAGCTGAAGCGATTAATATGTGACCTCTGCAGGTTATATAATCTTCCTCAGCATCCAGATGTTGAAATGTTAGATCAGCCATTACCAGCTGGACAGGTAAATTAAAAAGCTGTGGACACCTCATTATGTCAATGAAGGAGTTGTTTTTTCAACTCCAGGAAACAAGATGGTGGGAACAATTAAATTCTGTGTAAGCCAGAACTGAGATAGGATGCGCTGTTGCTTTATGGTGTCCTCAATCTGAATTTTATTTGCAGAATCCATTTAATAATGGTGTGATAGTATGACACAATCTCATTTGGAGTTTCTGTATCACTGCAGGGTGTGGATGTGATGCCACTGCTGTCAGTTTAATTCCTTCCTAAATACTGTTTCAGCCAATCGCTGTGCACTCCCAGTGCTTCCAAAATTAGTTTTTTTTCCAAAATGTAAATGTGATCAAACACTCTTCATTTTTTCTTGAAGAGTATGTATTTTACAGTGTGCAATTGGATGAACTACTACTGATGTTTTCCTTCCTCTCCAACCCCTTGCAGAGACATGGGCTAGCAGGACCATATGCCACTTTGGGTAGGGAGTAACTGAGGTGCCTTGTTTACTTTTTGTGCACTTGACGAATTAAGAGTTACGAATGGCTATGAAATGTTCTGGTTGACTAAACTGTTTTGTATTGTGATGGAAACAGCACTGGTAACTGACAGTAACTGTTCTTTTTTTGTCTTTAAAAATATTATGAGAGTGTCTTTTGCTTATCCATGTTAAGGTGACATGATTTCTGAGAACTTCTGTAGTGTAACAAGTGGTTTTCCTGTGGTGACTGTACTATAGCAATGGCAAATAACTTGCTTAACTTTGGTCATGTGCCAAATTGTAATCCTGTAGGCCTTTTCTCTCAGCTACCCACATAGCAGTGCAACCTTAAGACAGTAGGCTCGTAATAGTAGGAAGTAGCTTATGCTCTGAAACTTGACGAACAAACTCATGGAAGGCTATTTTGCCAGAAATGTCAGATAATGTGCAAGTTAAATATGAATGGCCTTAGTAAGTCAGACCAAAGATCCATCTAGTCCTCTGCATTGTATGTAGCAGTGGCATTCCTTCCTTGTCTAAGAGTGGAAACAAAGCACAAGTGTATTAGAATGCTCCTGAGTACTTCTGCAGCTCAGACTTCTTGAGCTTGAGGTGGTATCCTGAAAGGGAAAATGAAAAAAGAACTCAATTGTATTGTTTTGGTATTTTATCTAACACCAATGGCTATGTGATTATAGTATTTGTGGCATAGAAGTTCTAGATAGTGAAGCAAAAGTCTACTATGTGGTAGAGGTCTAAAGTTTGTTTTGTGGTTGTTTTTTCTTTTTAGAGATCTAGCATGGATATGGATTCTAGTTAGAGCCATAATTGTTTTCATAGTTAAGAAATCATGAGTTATAACCCACTTGACATACTGCATTTGTCACTGTCTCGGAATAGGATATCCTTATCTGAGTCCTAAGTTTCCACTTAACTTAATGTGAAATTAATTGTGACATTCTGTTTATCTTCGCTTTATGCAAAAATCTCTTCACTGTCATATTCAGGGAAGCATCTTGTGTATTTTTAAAGTTAAAATTCCAGTCCTTTGCAGACCTTGATAAGCCTAAATTTCGTATATACTGCTTTTGCTTTGATAGCAGACTTCCTCTTTTTGAAAGAGGGAACATATGCACAATTTATGCAGAAACCTCATTGTTGTATTGCAGAATGGAACAACAGAAGAAGTTACGTCAGAGGAGGAGGAAGAAGAAGATATGGGTGAAGTATGTGTATAAATGAGATTATTACCTTAACCTAGTAGAATTTCTGACATTTTGCTCTGCAGTGGTTGGCTAATTATTACACCAAACTGTAAAATGTAATCTCCCTAGAGTTCAACAGAAAAGACAATTAAAATTTGGATGTTTACCTTAATGTTAGCTTTTACTTCAACTGCAAAACTAGTGAAATTTTCTTCTTAAACCTAGATCTCAGCTGTGAGGTACTTGGATACAGAGAATTGGACATCTGTTTGTGCTTTAGTCAAACAATACATAACATTGTGTGCCAAATCAGTAAGTTTGCGTTGTTAACTCCTATTTCAAGCAGTATATGAACTGGCTCTGATACTGTTGAAAGTGCCTCCCAAATTGAAGCAAACTGGCCAAGAGTGAATCAGTTTGACTCATTGAACAGGTGAGCTAGTTAATAATCTATTGAAGGAAACTGAAGGACATATAAAACAGACATGCTGAACTTGAAAGGGTGTGTGTCACTGTCTGGCAGCGTGGCACTCCTTTCAGCGAGCTTTTTACTGTATGAGAACTGCCCACTTTGGTTACTTCTACAGTGTATTAGAGTAGCTCCAAGATGCTTGCTTTTTAAACCACTGTAAATACCCTTATTACAGGAAAACTCTTCTGACTACTTCAGATTTAAATCTTTAATGAAGAAGGTGTGTACTAAGAATGAACATTCATTCTTTGAATAGAAGATGTTCTTTCAGGAAAGATCTAAATGTTTCCCATGTTTTGAAATTAATTTGAAGTAGCTTCTCTTACACCACATTTAGCCTGATCCAGACCACATTTGTTGGAGCCAGACTTTCTGTAAAGGTAATTTGTACACTCCCATACCCTGCTGCCACAAGGCTCTTAATTGCTTGCAGACTTGTAGTTAGCCTTTTGCACTCTGGCTTACTTAAGACAAAAAAATGACCATGTCTGTATTTATAAGCTGCCAGGTGGCATTGTGTGTAGCACTGTTATCTTCAACTTGTCATCTAGTTCAGTTTCTAAATTGAAGAGCAGTTTATGGCTCCTAGGGGCTATATAATTGTTTTGAGAAACATGAGTATTTTAAAGAATACTTGGTTTAAAATCTGTTACAATTGGAGGAAACAGTGTTTTCAAAGGCACCAGATAGGTGTGTTTCTTACTACATCCCTGAATTTGCATTTATGACCAGGTTTTCCTGCCTTGCAAACAGATGGTGTGAAAAGAGTAGCCACAGGTGTGGTGAAGCACTTTGTATTGGAGCATATCTGATAGTTGTGTACTCAGAGCTTGCTGGTGTGGCTGTTGTAGTGCTTCCTTTTTCATCTGAAGTTAGTTCCCCTCTTCCCCACAAATAGCATTTGAATCATCTTACAAGCAGTTGTCTTTAAGTTCACAGTGCTCCTCTGCAGCAGCATAACCCATCTCGGAATACAGTGTGGAAGATTTTTCAGTGTCCTGGTCCAGAACTGAAATATTGGCTTGTGTGATCAGATTACTTGACGACATAATTTAGTCTTGTATCCTAATTCTGAAATTACTGTGTCTAATCTTAACGTTTGCCTTGCATGAAGTACATGTAGCTTTCTAATACTTAACTTTCTTGAAGAGTTGCTGTAACTCTGCCAGATATGTTAATCATTGTTTGCCAGGAGTGCAATATAGCTAAGATTCTAATTGAGAAAAAGGATCTGCTTTTAGAAATACTTTGGAGACACCCTAACTTTAGGGCTTTTGAATTATCAAGCCCTGTTCAAAATGCCTTAACTTCCTGGTTTTTACCTGCTTTAATGGGCTAATTCACTACAATCTTAACTTCTTGCAGAGGTTTTATTGTGCTTGGTTCTGTGACCAGAAACATGTTGTGAATTTGGGTCTCATTTGTATTGTGAAGGCTTTGTACACTTTGGTGAATACTGTTAGCTGAGAGAGTGAAGTTAGAGCAAAATAGAAATGACATCCAACAGTCACAAATACATAGGCTGTGCAGTATGTGACTGTATTCATAAATGCTCTTGGAGAGAGGATTTCATTGAATGAAGAACGTAGTTAAGTTACTTAAGGTGAATTTTCCCCTGTCCTGTAGGACATTGAAGATCTGGATCACTACGATATGAAGGAGGAGGAACCAGTTGATGGGAAGAAATCTGAGGATGAAGGCATTGAAAAAGAGAACCTTGCAATCTTAGAAAAAATCAGAAAAAATCAAAGGCAAGATCACTTAAATGTGAGTTAATGATTTGGATTTTTTTCCTTGTAGTACTTCTGGCTTTAAAATAGAAATTGTTTTCAGCAAATAGCTTATTGCTATGCACCTAGACATAAATCAACCTGTAGGTGGCTTCCAGTGGCTTCCAGCATATATAGGACAAAAGCCTCATGTTACGGGACCTAAATGGCTCTTTTTAAAGAAGTTTGAATAGGCCAGGTAAAATTCTAGGCCATTTAGTAAGTAGACTCCTCTTTCATCAGAATCTTTGGTATAGGAAGTTTAATCGTCAGCCACATCCCTCAAAGGCACAAAAACTACTTCAAAGCACTCTCATTCAGCCTGGGAGAATGCTATCATAATTTCTTTAGTCAAGCCGGGTTGGGGTATTCTTGTTATTTTGGATGAAGAAGCATCTTTAAGCTCTTCATTAGAGTCAACTCTTAGATGTAAATCCAGGTTTCACACTTGATAATAGAATTTAACTGGTTGTGTAATTTCCAGAGAGATCTATTTGGTTCTCCCTCTGTCTCTTGCTTCCTGCCTTTGTTGCAAACAGTAGTCCTCCTTGCAGAATCAGAAGAAAGCATCTAGGTTGTAAGCGTGAATTTTGTTGTTTTGTTGAACACTTATTAAAATAACAAAGCCATGTATAAAATTGATTGCATTAGAAGTCATGGGTGACAACATACCTGGCAAACCCAGGAATTTGTGCTTTAAATCCACTTCATGCATGAGGGTTTTTTCAGTAATATCTATGCCTCTTGTAAATTATTGAAGTGTTTGGGTTTAGGGTTTTTTTTGCCAGGCATAAAGCAAGGGACCTTCAGCAGCTCTCCAGCTTTATTATCACAGTTTTCCGAGTGATCCTGCCAGGAGGTAGTTGTAAACAAAACAAACCAGCTTGTTCTCCAGAGGCTTAGAAATGTTTTTTCATGACTGCCAAGTTTCAGAGAAGCTTCTGCTTCTCAAAGGTGCATGTAGGAGGGAATGATGATGTCATACAAACATAAGGTTTTTTTAGCCTGGCTTCCGAAGAAAGCAAAACTTTTGTTTCATGGAGGTTTCATGTGTAATACATGAAATTAAACACTTCTGTTCATTACATGTTTCAACCAAAGGTAAGGGTTCCGAAATTTTCAGAAGTCACCTGTACAGAAAGGTGCTTCAATTGGTGGCCTCTATTGTGTGAGTTCATGAGTTGTTATATGCTGTTTGGCCAGTCAGCAGATGTAGATCCTGCCAGGACACAAGATGTGCTATTTCTCTTTAAGCTAATAGTTGAGGGTGTGAGCAATAGACAGGTACATAGGAGAGACACTAACGAGGTTAGGGAACACCTGGATTTCTGCCCCAGGAACCAACTTTGTTCTGTTTCTTACATTTGATGATTTTTTTTCCAGTAAATATTTTCTAAAAAGCCTAAATTGCACTTAAAGATTGTTAGATTCAGGAGAATTGGTGTGGTAAACCTCTTTTGAATTATAGTGAGAACTATAGTGCTCTCTGCTAGCCAAGGCAATCCACTTCTAATATTGGCGATGCTTCTGATACATTGAGTTGTCATCAGAATTTAGAGTAAATGTTTCTTTAGTTAGCAGAATCTTGATTATTTCTTGTCATGAAGTCTTCCTCTTACTGACACCTTAACAGGGGAAAGAAACTAGCCATCTGCTTTGCAAAGGAAATAAGGTAGAAATGCTTCTATCAGAGTTCAACTGTGAGTCTTCTACTCCTGTTTCAGTGCTGTACTAATACAGCTTCAGTGCAAATGTGTCAAAAATGCCTTAGCCTTATGTTCTGCTGAAACAGGCAGCATGAGATAGCTGGCTAGAGTAGACTGCTCCTTGATTTGTGTACAGACTCAGTATTTACCTGTCAGGTTGTCTGAAAGAAAGTGTACAGTAATCATCACTCCTTCAAAAAACAAAAACAAAAAAACCCCAAACCAAAACCAAACCAACAGAACAGCCCCCAAAACAAAAAAAACAGAGCAAACAAGCAAAAATCCCCAACCTTGATCAGCATTTCAGTATTTAAAAGCGGGTAGACTAAGATGCCAAACCACTGTGTGAAGTGTTTTAAGGCTCGACTAACCATGAACACAATGGTGACTTACTAGTTTTGTTTAAACTTAAATGTTTCTTTGGAGTTTGAGAAGATGCCTATTAAGACTCTATATATTTCTGTATTTATAACTCAGACCTAATGGTAAAGATTCTTAGTTGTCAAATAGAGGAAATGCTCTTGCAGCCTGAAAGGCATAGTCTGCTTTACCATCATCTAAAAATTTGGTAGAACTACAAAAAGGTTTTTGTAGCATCAACATCCTTCCTTGATGTGGAGAGCCTCTTAAAACTGCAGATTTTCTCTTGCTATCTGTTCTTTCTGATTTGCAAATATTGCCTTGCCTTTTTCCTTTTTCCTCCTCATCTACTGGAGCTGAAATGAACACTGCTGGTTTTTTGACAGCAGCAGATTCAACTTATATAATAGCTGTTTCACTTGCCAAGACACTCTCACTGATGCTGGTGCATAAACAAGGTCAGCTGAGTACAGGGAACAGAGTATTCAACTGCTGCGGAGGAACTGTGGTGTTTTTGTGGGTCACCAGGAATAGCTGCACTGCTTAAATAATTTCTCAAAGGACTTGGGAGGTTTTACTCTTAAGTGCCAGAGAACAGAAAAATATAGCTGTGCTACTGACCTAGGAAAGAGCTAACCTAGTAGCACTTGAATGCCCCTTTATGCTGCCAAAACATGGGACTTTTAATAGAACATGTTAAATGTTCTCTAAGACAGCCGAAGTTTGCTCAGCATCCTAACATAAAGCAAAATTTAAATTTGTATGGACCTTCACAGTGGGTTTTCTTAAATGATGGTGTAAGTTTCACAAACTTAAATGTAGTGGCTACACATAGTCTAGTTTTCACACAAACTACACAACTCTTTTGGTATGTTTTGTTCCCTCAGCAGAGGAAACTAAAATGAAGCTATGTCATTAACATGCTGCTTGTTGGAAGACAAAGCACAAAGCCTAATGTTAGGGCTTTGACTAGTGCCCAAAACTTGTTTTATACAAGTTAAGAATATGTATCTACTAATTTTGTAAACTAGTTCTCTTCCTTGACAGTCTCCCTAATCCTATTCTTTTTGCTGCCATCAGGAAATAAACCTAGATTTGGCTTGCAGTACAGTATGTAACTTGGAGCAAGAATTAATCCGCCTCTTAAAATTGTAATAACTTTAAAGAACCACTTGCTTACAGGGAATAAAAGAAGGTCTTTGAACTAGAATCACTACCTTAAAATATTTAACAGCTTGATGCTGCTTGCTTTTCAGAGGTCTCTCCCCACTTAGTCGTTTTAGAGATTAATGCTTTTCTTATTTAGATAATGCTATTAGCTTTTTCCATTTCCTACTGAGGAGTTTATGCACTTTCCTTTTAGAAGTCTCAAATGTCTCCACTTTCATCTTCAGATTTTATGAAGTCTAAGGTGTCACTTCCATTTTCAGTCTAATCTTTGAAGTAAATTTGAATCTACTTTAACTTGCAGAAATGAATGTACTTCTGCACAAATACTGTGTAAGTTCAGTGACAATAGAACAAACTTGCATTCTTTAGCTCTTTTTGGGTCACTTTAGATTTTCTTATCTTGAAGGAGTTTCCATTTTTGTGTTTTGTTTTAGCAGGTAATTTTTAGTCTTGTGGCTGAATTGCCTGAAACATGTTGTGAGGGAGGTGGCTGACTGTACCGTTTTGATGTGCGACAGTATTATTCTGATCGGACAGTAAACAGACAGTCTGGTCTTTGGATTTAAAACTGTAATGAACTGCACCTCCTACCTCAGACAACTCATTTAAGGAGCAGACTGTGGTTGTGTTTGGAGGGGTGGAAGGGAAAATGTGCTAAGGAGAAAAGCTGAGCCTGCGAAACATCACAATCTCTGGATACTTAGTGCAGTGACAGCTAGGGGTAGTGGCACATGCTGTGCCTATTTCTGCACAGTTAGGTGTCCTCTACTGACTTGCAGACAAAGAAGATCAGTTTTGAAGTCCTAGTTTTCTTAGGAGCTGCTTAACTGTTCTGTATAGTATTTTACTCAAATTTATATGTTCACACTAAAATACTTAATTATAATAATAATTAAGGATAGAAATACTTCTGAAAAATATAATGCCTACACTGACTTGAACCAAAGTTTAATGTTTCTGACAGTGGCTAAAGCTCATCTTCAAGGGTAAAGTTTGAGAATACGACAAGCTTGTAGTAATGCATATCATGAATATTTTTCAGATCCAACAGTTTTGGCCCTGGGAATTCCTGCATCAGGTGTTTCTCTTATCTGTGGCTCTCAGCAAATGGCATGTTGTCCACAAATGCATATCTCCTGTGGCAGGGATTTCTCCAGCTTACTTGCTTATTGTTCTGGAGAATCTCAAGCATGCTTGTACAGGAGAGGATGATCAAGTGAGACTTCTTGTGCCACTTAATAGGGAAAAGTCACTTGGTGCTTGCCTGGCAGCTCTTTTAAATTCTTCAGTTTACAAATTAAATGGCTATGCCTTTCTGCTCTTGCCATCAACCCCAAGTGATAGATATCTGTCACATCCCATGATTGACCATTTCTAAGGCAGTTGCAACTATAAGTCTTGATCTCGCAACTGGAGGAATAGTAGTTTTATCTCCCTTGAAGGGCTAAGCCCTACTCTTCCAGAAGGATACTCAGTCATTTATATCTGAACTCAGCCTTTGAAATTATAACTCACATATAGTGAGTTACTGAAAGTTAAAGTTTATAATTTTAGCACCATTATAGTCAAAACTGAACTCTCTGCTCTATTATCATGTAATTATCATGTAATTGTGTGATGCAAATAGTACTTTTCTAAACTGCACTTTAATGGTAGTTGTAAAAAAAAACAAAACACAAAAGTCACACCAGAATGAAGACTTCATGTTTCAAAGCAGCGGTGTTTGGCATTAAGATTGCTATCAGGTGTAGCAGTTAATCTCTGCAGGCTTCTTCTTCATCTTCCTCCAGGGGTAGTTCAGAGCATGGAAAGTAAGCTCCTGTGCTAAACTACTTAGGTTAAGCTTACTACCCTCATTTTCTTGATCTTGATTACTGGTTTGAAGTCTATCAGTGCTTTAGAGTAGCAAGTCTAACTATATTTAATACTGCTCTATAAGGAGCAGGTGATCCAACTAGAAACTCCTAGGAAAAAAGGGCAAAAGACACCGTTACAGACAAAGTCTACTGAGGGTAGCTTACACACACTAAAATTAACTTTCTTTTTAATACCACTTCAGTTTATCAGCAGTTATAATGCATTATGTGGGTGTTGTTAAGTTTTGTTTTTTATATTACTAAGATACAGAAGACACTTAAATTTCCGTGTGCAGAGGTGAGCGTCCAACACTATGTGCAGAAATTCAGTAGCTTACTTTGATGAAAATAAAGATGCAATGAGGATGTCTTTGAGAGTCTTAAGTTGTTTTTAAATTGCCTTTTTTTAGAGGTTGATATTCTGAGTCAGCCTCAAAGAAAGAGAAATTCCTTCTTTGCCTGATACTTACAGGGGCTTCACTAAACTGAATTACTTGTCTGGAGCCCTGTCTTTATGTAGCTTCTGTTTCATCAGATGAAAGGAGTTACCTTGTATTTGCTTATTTAATTACAAGGTTCATTCTTCATACTGATCTGTTAAGAAAAACTAGTGGTATTTCAGTTATCTGCATAAAAAAAATCTGGTGGAATAGAAAAATGAATAGCCTGAAATAATAATCTGCAAGACTATAGTGTGTAGCTAAGCATATTATATGAAGCTGTTAAACAGAGAAGACAAAGTAGTATGTGGAGGTCTTAGCATCAAGTAACTATTACTGATATTTAATCCTTATTAAGAAATAATTTGATCCTCCAATTAAGACCTTGTAGAACATACAATATCACTGACTTCAGGCAAGCAGGGATGACACTTCAGGTATTAGACAATGGTCATAGCTGCTTCAAATTGCTCCAGAAATGCTTCTCTGACACTCCTGTCCAAGAAGGATCTGTTTGTAGACATTCATAGTGTCTGAAAGGAAACCGAAGAAACAAATCACTTCAAAGTTTTAGATGAGTAGCAAAACAGACCCATAATCGGTCAGTACTTCATATGGAGAGGCTGAACTTAACTTTAGTCTATGTAGGGCCTTTTTTGTAGTTGTTGTTGGTTTTTGTTTTCTTGGGGTTTTGGTTTTGTCTCCCTCCTGAAACAATGCCTATGAGCTGCATGTATTAGCCTGTATTTCAGAGGGAGTGCCTGAAGTCTAAGCAGCAGCAGAGAACTGCTTGGATCTCAAATAATCTACCTTTGGAAAACTGACTGCCGTTGAAAGCCAAAGTTTCACAGAGTTGAGGTTCAGGGTGATAGTTACCTTACCTCTGTTGGAGTCCTTGTTCCTATCTTGTAATACTAATTTTTTGTCTCTGTTTTCCAAAAAATTTGAATGTAAAATGCTATTTTGTGCGGAATATATAAGCAGGGTAATCATGTAACGCCTAAGATTTAGTATCAAAATCTTAGCTGCTAGCTTTGGCATTGAATTGGAGAGAGTAATCTAGGTACTTCTGGTGATCATATTATTCTAAATAAGGACTTTAACTCTGTAAAAGGGGGAAGACCTGTCCTCACTTTAAAGCTCAGAAATTCAAGGCAAAATTTAATAGCAAGGTCACAGAACTGTCAGCATTGAAGGTGTGTGCAGAATACATCCAGTGTAGCAGTTGTTGATAAAAGTAGACATCAGTTACTTGATAACTGGTGAATTCATTAGTTTTTCATAGACTTACCTTGGTTTGTAGAGCCAGGCATATTTTATATGCATGTCGCTTAAAGCATGTCGTCTTTTTCCATTTTTGTTTTAGCAGCGTATATCAGGCTGAAATACCAGTTTCAGAAATTGTGTGCTAAGTTTTCTATCACTTAGAGATGCTGAGTAATACAGAACTGAACTCCAGAATAACACAAGATGTTTGAGCCCTGGTTGTATAACCCACAAAAACTGTGACAAATCACAACAAAATATTTGTTATATTAAGTCTTTCTCTGTGTTGGTATTTTCTGATTTTTTTCACTCTGTTGCAAACAATAGTGTTGCTTTTGTTCTGCATTTTCTAAATACATTGGTTGGTCTTACTTCATCCAGTTAGTGTAACTTTGTAATGGAAATAAAGCTGTTTTGATGTAAATACTACTTTTCACTTATTTTGAGTCTTTTTGTTTGTTTCAGGGTGCAGTCTCTGGGTCAGTTCAGGCTTCAGATCGACTTATGAAAGAACTCAGGGATATATATAGATCACAGAGTTATAAAACAGGTAAAATGCTTCAGATTTCCCTTCTTAAAATATACTTGAAAAGGATTCTCTTAGCAAATACTTCCTGCTAATCCTTCTGCATTTTGTTGTCATATATGTAATATACGTGTGTGTGTGTGTCTATATGTGCGCACATATCTACACATAATACATACACTGTTGTATATGATGAGGCTATATATAATGTGTTTGGGGAGAAAAAGGAAATCAGGATGCATATCCTCTAAACTTCTTCCTTCTTGTTATGCAAAGCTTTATACAAAAATTAACAGGATTGGTGTAACTATGAGAATGCTCTTGGGGTGGATGACTACAAAGAGCAACTCAAGATAACTCCTGTGGGACTTCTTGAGTATTCAGAACTACCTGAAGTTCTACTCTCCAGGTATACAGGGCAAAAGCTTTGAGCACTACTGGTGGGTAGTACTGCTCACAAGAATGTTGGCTGTAGAGGGATTTGTGTTCAACAGCAGAAGGTTTTGTTGTTACGTACAGGATTTGACTTCAACTACACTGCTGTTACTTTTATTATTTTGTGATGGTGTTAATCTGATCCTAAGCTGTGTGTATTCCTTGAAATAAGGATACAAATGGCAGTAGAAAACAAGCTTGCTCTTTAAATTTGTTAAATAACAAACACTGATTGGCTTTAGGTGCTCTATTTGCTGCTGCTCTATTTGCTCCACAAGGGGTGTATCTGAACTAGCTCAGAAAAGGAATTGGTATATTGAACTGAGTGTTACCATTCAAGAAGTAGAAATTACGTAGATTTCAGGCAATCTGTGTTTTTGAAGGTTAACTGAGTAGACAACTCCATAGCTGCAGTCAGCTATGAGGCCCTGATGTAGGCCTAGGATGGCAACAGGGGGAGTGCCTGATTAAAGTGTCTTAACTTTAATCCTCTATCTATTCTGAACTTCTCCACTAGTTTTATTTCTAGTTGTCTTAAATCTCACGTGGTGGCTATGGCATTTTAATTTGTATGTAAAAAGACAGATTTGAAGAGAAAATAGGCACCTGTTTTAATTTACCATATTTGCCTTTTCAGTAAATAGTTTTGTGTGTTGAAGTACTGTGGACAGTGGTAAAATGCCTGAAGTATAAATTTGGTTAGGTGACCTTGTGTTGATCTAGTGTAACCTACTTCTTTTAGGCTTTATTGCAACTGAGTGCTTGCCAGTATGCCCTCCCTAATCACCATCTATCCTGTAAAGAATGGATTAGTGGATCCAAGGAAGAGCTAGAAATAGATCTGTATTAAGTCATGAGGGGTACTTTACTGTCCATGTGTGATCTTCAGGGTTTGTTTTTGTGGTTAAGACAAGATTTGATATAACACGTCTATTTGGCTATAGAGACTGTATAGTGCTTTAAACACATAGTGGTACTGCTGGAGGCATAACCAGGAGCCCCTTGTAAGAGGTGTAGATTGAGGTAGGAGTTGGGTTGATTAATAATGCCATTTATTGGCTTTAGATTAATAACAAGTCTTAACTAGTTGCAGAAAACGTTGGGATACTAAAGGGTGAATATTCTCATTAGCTTATCGCTCAGGAATAGGTAAAAGGACTGCAACTGGATGCTTTGTGTTAATCTTTAAAACATCTTAATGAAGCAAAGTGTAAAGTGGAGGTTGACTCTATTAACCTGATGGCAATCTTGCTTTGAAACACCATCCTACTGATCTGTAGGCCAGTAGCTGATGCTGTGTTATAAAATGTATCTAGATTCATTCCTTATGGCTTCATTTAGTCTTAAGATTTGAGTGGATTTAAATATTGGTTCCTTTCCTTTGCACAAAACTCCTGCTTTTACAGCCTAGTTTTGTCTTTTGTTGTTATCTAACTGTCACCATGTGAACAAGGGCATGGTAGATAACTGACTTTCTTTTAATGTGATCTTTTCAAAGCACTTGCTCCACAGTCCATTTTTCCATTAATTTAATTTTCTATTATTAACGCGTAAAGAGAACCATTGTGAAACTGAAAGGTTCTGGTAACTGTTGCAAGGTAATTCAACACTGCTTTCATTTTCTGTGATATAAGCCAGAAAATCTAAGGCTGCTTTTTAGTTGAATAAGGATCATTATTTAGTGTATGTGAAGTTATGTATGTTTTCAGGATTGACAGTAGGACAACATTGGAACTTCTGAAGTGAATAATACTTGTAATAATAAATTTTTTTAAAGTGTGTTTTCTGTTTAAACTATTTTATAGGAAAGTAGCATTGGTGTATGTTCATGGTAGTGTCCATTATAGAACTGAAGTTCCTTTAGTGATTGAAATACTACTGCTGGAGTTCCAGCACAAGGTGACAAGCTTCTTGTCAACAGGAAAGTTGCCTATCTAACCTCAAAATCTAGGTGAAGAACTAGCCCTAAAAATGGAGAAAACCATTTTATTATGAGCTAACAGAAGCAAAAAACCACTCCAGCAAATTAAGATATCCTGCTATAAATTAGGTAGAGTTTAGTTAACCTGTTTTGATAATAGAAGTCACAAGTTCTCTAAACTATCTCATTTCCAAATACAAAGTTGAAGATTTGGTTAGTTTATATAGAAGAATTCACAAAGGTCTTAAAATAATTTGGTGGGGGTAGAGAAGGAGGAGGAGGAACAAAGAATTTAGGAATATTACGTGGAATCTTTTCATATCTTTAACAGCTGTGTTTTTTATATATAGTGACTTCAACTCACTGCTTTCATCCTAAGACTGGGATTTACTTCTAGTTGTAGTAAAGTTACTATAAGTAAGACATTGCTTTTTATTTTTGGCAGGGGTTGTTTTTCTTCCTACCTTTTAATATCTTAATTCTTTGTTTGCTTCATGGCTCTGTGTGCTTGCTTTTGCTTGATCAGCTCTATGGTTGGCTTCTTATGGGAATAAATCAAAAAAACCTCCTGTGTTTGTGAGGGGAAGCTAGCTTGATTCCCTTCCCTACCTTGAGGACCACTCAAACTGATACAATCAGTATCAGTCAACTTGTCTTGACAGTAGCTTTTTTTTTCCTCTTACTGGCTAAATTAATATGAGCTGGTTCCAACTATCAACTCTTAAGCATTAAAAAAAATACAACCCCAACCCCCCACATACACCAAAAAAACCACAAACAAACAAAAAACCCACCAAAAAAACCCTCAACCCAAACAAACACCCCCTCAACTTTGGATAGTGTTGTTCAGAAGCTTCTATATCAAGACAGCGAGCAACCAAAATGCTGGTGCTGTCTGTGAGGATGTACAAGATGCTATTCAGCTCGAAATCTGGGTTCTTGAAAGGCTGATGAAGTAGCTTGCTGTTCTGTTAAGACGCATTCTTTTCAGTTCTGAGCTGTGCGTATCTCTCTGAAGAACCCTTTTACAACTTCTGGTTTAGGTACAGGATAGCTCTTAGGACCAGCAAAAGTTATCCCTTTGTGGAAGCTATCAAAACATGTGGACCTTGGTAACGCACAAAGCTGAGGGACAGGTACATGAATTCTGAGTAAGAGAAGGACTTTTAGAGTGGTGGAAGGAATGCAGGAAGAGGGCTAGAGGCTTAGTGATGGAAAACAAGCTGATGGAAATGTTTTCTTGTTGTCTTGCTTTATTTAGGATATTGTCAGAATTCTTACTGTAACTTCTGTTGTCTGTAATATACTTCTGTGTTTGTGCTAGATGCTACAACCATAATACTGAGCAGCTGCTGCTTCCAATTTTCAGTCTGTTTTGGATGTAGGTGGAAGAAAATATTCTGGATACGACATTGGAATAGCTTAATCCTTAATGGGAGTTGACAATGAGCAGAGTTCTGAATATCAACTTTTTTTTTTGTTACATCAGAGCAGTACAAATTGGAATTCTTGTACTTCATGACTTGTGCTTATGCTAAAGACAATGCAGAAAATAATGTCCTTGGATCTGGGAAATAGGGAAAAGGCCTTAATAACTTCTTCTGTTCATCCTCAAACAGAAAAGTGTGGTATCTCTGAACTAGTTTCTGATTAAAAGGGATACTGAAGGCACAGCAAGTAAGACTTGAGACCTACTTTGTCCTACGCTTTTAAAAAAATTGAAATCACGCTCTTGGCTGCAAATACCTGCTTGATTGTGGCACTGCAGTAAGGAGTAACAAGCATGGTTTTTAAACTTGTTTACTCAGTTTTGGAATGTTTTTAGAAATAAAGATGTTGGGACAGCTTGAATGTCATTTGTACTCCAAGTACTGAAACTTGAAAGTCTCAACTGCAAGATAATGTATTCTAAAAAAATAAAACTCAGAAATGAAGCTGTAGTTCTTCAGAGATAATGTGGTGATTGCAGTGTATTGGTTGTATAGCCTTCAGAAGTCCTAGGCAGATTCCTGATTTGCAGATATCTTCCATCAGCAACAGATAAGACTTTACATATTACCCCAGATAACAAGTTTAATCATAGTTGGTCAGTATATGTGAATGAATAATCCGTGAGGGGAGAAATTAGACTTTTCACCGTCACTGATAGCATTTTCTAAATCTTCTCATAGTCAAAGATTTATTGCTTTTTCCTGAGCTGCTTGTGAACTTCTGCAGAGAGGCAGTGTGAATATACAAGCAAACGACAGATAATCTGTCACTCTTCCCTTTGAGTGAAAAGCATAAATATTGTTTAATGTGCTTAAACCAAATGGACCACTGAATATCACAGGTTGGCTTCTGGACACAGTTACTCTTATAATGCATCTTTCTGACTTCTTTGGTCAGTTGTTGGGAATGCACTTCCAATGCAGTGTCGTCTTTTTTTGGGTTTCTGCTCCATATACTGTCCAGTGTCCTGTCCTTGTCTGCCAGTACTGCTGAGAACCTGTGAAATACAGTGCTCCATACTCAGACGGTGTGTTAACTGTTTTAAAAGTGTGTAGGTCATGTACAGAATGTAAAATACACTGAGTACTAAGCAAGCTGGAGTTGTAAATGTGAAAAGTTTGAAAGGGAACTGGGAGGAGGGTAAATGGTTAGGTGTCAGAAAAACATTGTGATTAATGTGCAATTTCTTAATAGAACTGAAAGAACTTTTTCACTTGTAGCTGTCCAGAATGGCTGCTTCTGTTTGAGGAAGGATGTGCTTCAGTATCTCAGTATCTTATCTATTTCTTATGTCTACTGACAGTATTTGTCATTAAAAGCAAAGAATGTTTTTGCTAAATTTTACCTTCTTAAACTTCTAGTGCAGAATTAATTCTATCTAATATTTCTACAGGGATATATTCAGTGGAACTGGTAAATGACAGCTTGTATGAATGGCATGTTAAGCTTCTAAAGTAAGTTTTTGAAGTTTTTTCATCTTCTGTTATTGCTGCAGAGATTCTTACTTTCGATAAATGAGAATCAGTAGCCAGAGCATATAAAACAGTATGTGGTGACTACAGTTCTGGTATACAGAAGCGTGTACAGCCAGAACAGTGTGTATTACCATGACTTCCATTACAATTCTCTTTCCAAAACTACTCCAAAATATGAAACTTCAAGTGACGAAATTTTTGTCCAGGGCTTTTGTCTAGATGGCTTTAGTATACTTTTGTTTGGGTTTAATTTCAGGAAAATCCAACTTCTAGTTTCATTTGAGGTGTAAGAAGGAACAGAACTGCTGTAGTGTTACTAGTTCTTTATTTCTACAGCTGAACAGTCATGTACGGCTGAAACTTAAGTATAATGTAATTATGACTTATGTAATTATACAACCTTTCTTCTTTTATATACTGTCTTTCACTGTTCGTTACTCATCTAGTCCATAGTCCTGTAAATTTTATTTTAGAGTTATTATATTGAAATAATTCCTGGTAATGGGATCATCTGCCATCAGCCTACAAGATAATCTGCAGGAAGGAAAAGCCTATCCAAAGTAGGTTGGGTGGCTGGGAAAAAATGCCAGAGATGAAGGAACTCCCATCAGTTCGGATATGTCATGGTATAAGAGTGTAAGCTGTTTCAGCAGAAGAGCTAACCTGCCTGTAGGAGTTGTTGCCTTGTCCTAGTGGTAAGACTTGTATAACTATGTCACCAGCTGCTGAAATACAGTTTTGTTTCCTTCTTAGTTTAATCATGGGCATTTGAACATTTCAAAGCTGAAAATGGAAGGAATGACATATATGTCAGAAAAATCTTCGCCACGTTACAGGAGGCATTATCTATCAAACGCTTCTGTAACAAAATGTTCAAACCACTGTGCAGTGATTTGAAACTTCTTTCCAAGTGCTGTGAACAGGTCTGATTTTCTGCCTTTGAGAAAGAGAAAATGAAGTGCAAGCTCAAATGGCTTCCAGAATGGCTAAGAGAAGATAAGAAGTATTTTGTTTGTTTATCCCAGCAAAGTCTGAGAAGAAATGAACTGTGTGCAGACTAGTTGAGGGGGTAAATGTTAGAGAAAAAAGAATCCCTTTACCCAAGGAACAGCATTGTTGTAACTGGCCTAATACAAGCTGTGGCTGGAAATTGTAGGTTTCTAGGTGTTGGGACGTTTTCTGAGACAGCTTCCTGTTGGCAGGATGGGGACAAACTACCCAAGTAATTCTGAAGTGGGATCTAATAAGTTTGTGGCTCATCTGTAGCAGAGGATTGGATTTAATAGGCCATAATTTTGTTTGACATCTACATTTGCCTTGCTGTAGGCATTTTTTGACTACTCTCTTTAAAAGCTGCTGGGGTGTCAGAGCCTGGGTGGGATTAACCCAGTAGTGCCTGAATTAATGTCTAGGCTGCTCACCACCAGCGTTTTTCAACAAACAATTGTTGAAATTCTGCTGAGCAGAAGCTGCTGGCTTTGGTACTTCTGCTGATACAGATTGTTTTTAACAGCTGATACAGAACCATGGTCACATCTTCCATAAAGGATTCACTAACTGTGTACTGAAAAGTAGAACATTGCAGTCTTTCTGTTAAATCTTTTTATTTATCCTCCTGGGACTTACATTTCCAGTGAAGTGAATTAAGAGTACTGTTTTTCAAATAAACAGATTATTTTGTGCTATGTTTAAATAACACTTGACAGCATTGGGAATGTAGTGTCTTGCAGCAAAGTGTCTACCTCATAAAGAGAGCAAGAGTTTTCTACAGTTCACTTATACTGTATAACCTATAAATACATAAAGAAGCTCTTGAAGAGCAATTGCTGTTTACAGGTAGTGAAAAAATTAACTTCATCCAGGATCTTCCCCCTGCTTCTTTTATAGGGTTGATCCTGATAGCCCATTGCATAATGATCTTCAGGTCTTAAAAGAAAAAGAAGGTGTAGAATACATTTTATTCAACTTCTCTTTTAAGGTATGTGTCTACGGGAAGAAATTCTGGGGTTAAGTTTGTTGTTTACTGTCAAAAGTGAGTGAAATGACCCTCAGCTGTTACTTAGATAAAGATGGAGCTGTAGCATTTGGGGGTTGGGGAAGGGGGTGCAACTTTGTGTGGCACTACAGCTTCCCAAAGATCATTTTTTAGCCAGTACTGTGGAAATGTGATTTTTATTTTTTTTAATAGAACTGAAAAAAATGTTACTGCTTTAAATTAGATTTGCCAAATAAGTCTATTGATATGCTTCCTGGATAGAAAAACTGTCACACAATAGTTCCTAACCCTTTTTTTGTTCTGCTTTTCAGGATAACTTCCCATTTGATCCTCCCTTTGTGCGAGTGGTATCTCCTGTCCTCACAGGAGGGTAGGTTTGGGTTGCTTTACAGAAATTTTACTTTGTAGTGAAAATGTTACAACTTGAGACTGGTTGACTGAGTTTGCAGGGAACGTTTTGAGACTACTGTGTAAACTTCAGGAAATCTCCCCTAAATGTATGTTGATGAGCTGCTGTATTCTTGAAGTTCAAAGTGTGATATGGAGACTTGCTTCCTAAGGTTTATTAACTTCTAGGAGCCAAATATCTGGGTACATATTCCAGCCAGGTGCAATTTCTCTAAGTTGTTTAGTTTGTGCCTAGCTTTGAAAAGACACTGTGACTGTTGTGTTTTGAGTTAGTGCTTTGAAGGGGTGTCTATCCCTGTGTTGCCTTAAACTTGCTGTACAGTCTTAACTGACTCACTTTTGCTGGTAACACTGCCACAAAGTTGTTTGTTTTTTCTTTTCTAAAATATCCTCAAATGCTAATCCCAAAATACTAAATTTAATTGATACCATGCTCCAAAAGTAATTAAAATGTGTTTGAAGTGCTGTCTGTGGAGTATAAACTTGTGTATATCCATGGAGAGAAGATTAAATTCACCTTCCAAGGCCTTTATGCATTTCCTGCTG